TTTTTATTTTTTATACAATAATACATAAAAGTTGATATAGATTTGTTAATTATTTATAACAAAGTCAATAATATTAAAAAAACACTTTGAAGTTTAAAAAAAAATCAATTTATTTAGATTTCAGTTTATTTTAGTAGCCCGCAGATGTTAAAAAAACAAACAGTCTTCTTTTTTCAGACAGCAGACGTTTGATCCACATCTTCTACTGCAGAGGTCTACATATGTGGTCCGCAGACTACAGACATTTTGCCTCAGAAAAAACAAACAACACCTTACTCTTATTGTTTTGGTCTCTGGGTGTATATGATTTTTTTACAATTTTGGTCCAAAAAAGTTCTCTTCCATTTTTGGTCCTTATTTGAGATTTTTGTAACATTTTTTGTCCCTGTTCCAAGAAAATAACTCTACTTTTAGGACTAAAATTGCAAAATCAATTATACTCAAGGACAAAAAATAATCATATAATTGGAACAAGGACCAAAAACATTACAAGAACCCCCAACAATGACTAAAATTACAAGAGAAAACTTTTTAAAACCAAAATTACAAAAATCAGATATAATCAGAAACCAAAAATGTAAGATTAAATTACATTTTTGGTCCATGAGAAATTGAGAATGGTTGTTTGTTGGCAAATTTGGTCCCAAAAAAGTTCTCTTGCAATTTTAGTTCTTATTTGAGGTTATTATAACATTTTTGGTCCCTGTTCCAAGTCATATGACTATTTTTGGTCCCCGAGTATATCTGATTTTACAATTTTGGTCCCAAAATTAGTCATTTTCTTGAAATGGGGGCCAAAAACATTACAAAAACCTCAATCAATGACCAAAATTGCAAGAGAACCCAAAATTGCAAAAATCAGCAATATACCCAGGGACCAAAAATGTAACTTACTCGATAAAAATTATAACTTGTATAACACTTCATAAAAAAATAAACCTGGAGATAACCATGGTTTCTCCAACAATACTTTGTAGTATGAATTATCAAAAATAATCGGATTCCCAAATCCCTTGCTTCCAAGAGTATGTGCACCAGATAATGCTACAAGTTCTTGTGTCCTACAAAAATTTATAAATTTAATAAAAAAACATATAAAGATTATACAAAATAAAGTCAAAATTTGTCATGTTGACTTACGAAAAACCTTTTCGTTTGAAACTTTGTTTAAGTCCAAAAGCATCCAACGTTTCTTCCGGAAGCTTTCCCTCAGGATCAGGTACCCTAAAAAGCATTCAAAATTTATAAAAAATAATAATAATAATTGTTAAAAGTTTTTAAATAGTTTATTATTTTAGGGTTAATGTCACTTACATCGAGTCTAATCTGCCCAATCTAACAGGAATTTTTGGACCTCCACATAAAGAAACAGCTTCAGCTCCGGCTACAGCAATCACATCAGACACTGACACTGACATTGACACTGGTTGTGTCTCTTCCACCATCTTTTTTGCTTCCAGAATAATCTAAGAAAATAAAATTTGAAAAAAAAAAATTATAAATGTGTTTGTAATAAAGAAAGTTGTGAGAAAATGAAATTAACCTTTAAAGATTTTTTAAGACCTTTGTTTTCAGGTCTATCAAGTTCATATAATATAGAGCCATTCATACCACCTGAAATATATATTAGTCACGATTAATTAATTAAGTCATTATTTAAAAGATATAATTTTATTAATAATAATAATAATACCTGAATTTTCATTCGTTTCATACGTTCCTGCATCGTGAAAAACCAAACGAAGAACACCAGCAGCCTTTCCCTTTGTCAATACTTTTCTTATTTCTTCCTGTAATAAGAGTAGATCACTGATAACAAACATCAATTTCTTTTTTGTTTTTTTCAATGTTTTAATCAAGAATCAAATATTTTTATTGACTTACTCTGCAGCATTAGCGTTAGCAGAAGAAGAATGTTGCATTGATTCATGAAAAGGCAAAAGAAATGTGATCATAGAAATCATCATTCTCCTGCCATATGAAGTGCGAGCATGATTCTCATCTGTATTTCATACAAAATTTTGGAATTTAGAAAGAAAAAGAAAACCCAAGAAATTGATATTACTGTTCATCTATAGTGTTGTTAGGGTTTTAGGGTTTATCTAATTGCTATACTACATCCAACAGTTGTAACCACAAACTTTGGTGTAACGGACTAAAACCACAATTTCTCATAATCTTGGGACGAAAACTACAAAAATTGGCATGAAATTCATCAAATTCCGGACTATAAGAGCTTCTTTAAGACGATTTGTACACAAAGGACTAACAGGATAGATATAATGTCATCATACAATGCAAAAGTTATATAATTTATTCAGACAGATCGGATATAGAATCAGTTCATTAGATGAATTAAGTTGTAGCTAAAATTTCCAAAAAGAGGGATTTAATATACTTGAATCGGAAACGGCGGTCGAAGGAGCTGATGTTGAGCAAATAGTGGGCCTAATAGCGGTGCAGGTGCAGCCATAGTGGATTTTCCGGCGAATTTGAGTGGGAAATTCGAATCTGAAGGTAATGTATGGAGAGCAGAGATGCCGGAACGACAGGTCGAAGCCGGTCATGGACATCTTTAATGGACGGTTGAGAAGTCGTTTGCGGTTTACTCCTCACCCTCTTTACATATATCTCGGATACATCATATAAGAGTAGGGGTGAAAACGAGCCAAGCTACTCGGGATCGGCTCGTTAAAAGTTCGACTCGAAACCGATTTTAAACGAGCCCGAGCCGAGCTCGAGCTTAATTTTAAGCTCATTTTATTAAACGAGCTCGAGCTCGAGCCTATGTCACTAAGCTCGATTAGGCTCGCGAGCCTAAACGAGCCTTTATATAATATAATTTATTATTATTTCATATATTAAAATAAAAACATATTCTGGAAATTAGGGATTTAGGGTATTAGTAAACGAGCTTCTTAACGAGCTCGAGCCGAGCTTAAGCTTATTTAGGCACGTCAAACGAAAAAACGAGCCCAAGCCCGAGCTGAGCTTGTATAATTCTTTACGAGCTCGATCCGAGCTCAGTACAAGAAAGCTCGAATCGAGCCAAGCTCGAGCTCGAGCCTCGTATAACTTAAACGAGCCCGAGCCGAGCCTGACCAGGCTTGGGCTCGGCTCGGGTCGTTTGCACCCCTATATAAGACACTTTTAGACATATTTTCTCAAAATGGATAATGATTTAAAAGGATAATGTATTTTTTGATTTGTACACATTTAGTAACTGAGTTTTTTTTCGTCCACATTTACCCCTTCAACTTGTTAAACTTTACACATTCAGTCCTTATGACTGGCTACTTCAGGTTAGTCGGTAAAAATGACTTAATAGGGTAATATATTTCCCACTTTGTACACATTTATTCTTTAATATTTTTGTACACATTTAGTCCTTAATTTTTTATTTTTTATTTTATTTATTTATTTTTTTGCAAAATAAGTCAGTTTTGTTTTATGTACTCATTAAATACTTATGAATGATTTATTTAGTTTTTTCTCATAAAATCTTACGTGGGAAATTCATTAATGAAGTGTTTGGGCCTTTTTTGATACTTATGTCCATAGCGATCTCGACTACTTGGTTGCTTAGGTCATGTGTTCTGAACGTCATAATTCTTCATACGATCTCGGATTTGAACGATCTTTATATCCATGCGTTCGTATTTTAGTCTACTACAACTTTTATTTAGATTACTCCCATTAAAAATAATATATTTTTACTTACGATTTTTATATCCATACGCAGGGGCGGATTTAGCCTAGTCCCGGTGTTGCACCGGCAACAACTGTTTTTTTGTCCGCAGTGGAAAATTTTTTGATTTTTTTTTTCGTTTATAGCTATTTTTCATTTATCAGCAACACATATTTCATCTCGGCAACACTTACTATGTATTCCTGCGTCTGCCCCTGTCCATACGTTTTTATGAACGCATGTATGGATGTTCTTTTTTAATAAAAATCGTAAGTAAAAATATATTACATTTTAACGGGAGTAATCTTAATGAAAAAATGAACACGTGGATATAAAGATCGTTAAAATCTGATATCATATGAAGAAGTTACGACGTTCAAAATACAAGACCTAAGCCAAACCACAAGACCTATGCAACCAAGTAGTTGAGATCATGTTGGACATAAACATCAACAACTCCAAACAACTCATCAATGATTGTTCTACGTAAGATGTCGTGAGAAAAACCTAAAGAAATCATTTATAAATACTGAGTGAGTACAAAAAAAAATAACGTATTTGAAATAAAAAAAAATGTTAAGGACTAAATATATACAAAAATATTAAGGACTAAATGTGTACAAAATGAAAAATATATTACCCTATTAAGTCATTTTTCCCAGCTAACCTGAAATAACCGGTCATAAGGACTGAATGTGTACAGTTTAACAAGTTAAAGGGGTAAATGTGGACAAAAAAAAAACTTAGTGACAAAATGTATACAAATAAAAAAAATATATTACCCTTTTAATCATTATCCCTTCTCAAAATTTTACAATAAAAAAGCATTTAACTACAAAACTAATATATTCATAAAATTTTACAAAATTTTTAACTTCGGTTGTCTCTAAATTTTCAGTATGTTACACACTTGGTCTTGGTCTTTGTCTTGACATTCCTTCTTGTTTCAGTATTTAAACTTAAAACATCTCGTGTGTGCCTTGCACGCAAGGGTATTTTTGTTATTTTCAATTACACTCTTGAACTTAGAAAACGTCTTCTAAAATCAGAAGCTATTTTTTTGTTTCCCAGAAAAAAAAAAGTCCAAAAAGTATTTTTATATCTTTTGCCTACTGAAAAACAAAAATTTTTTTTCTTAAATTTTAATATATCCCTAAATCAACTTAAACATCCCATTTATTTAAACAAACAGGTAAAAACGTAATTGAACTACCTTCAACACAAATCACTACAACATCTATAAAATAATTCAGAATTTACAGCCATATTATTATATAAAAATATAAAATTATAAATTCATATACACATTCATCTACCTAGGCCCAGAAACCCGAAGATCCGATAAATATGCATCACTATTCCCATCTGAAGGCCCAGATGAAGTACCAAATTCACTAAACGGTTTAGACAAACTCGAAAAGAACCCGGTCTGACCAACAACCGGCGGCGCCGGAACCGGACACAGCCCTTCAAGCATCCGCACCACCTTCGTCATCGACGGCCTTAAATTCATATCATCCTGTATACACCACAACGCCACCCGTATTGCCACCACCACCCGCTCATCCTTCTCATCTACTTTCATCTTCTCATCCAACAGGATCTCAACTTTACCTTCTTCCATCATCCTCGAAGCGTACGCCGGAAAATGCGACGTCTCCGGCGAGATATAGTTTTTCCGGCCACTGATAATCTCAAGCAACACCATTCCGTAGCTGTAGACATCGCTCTTTTCTGAAATCGCGTAGTTCGTGATCCATTCGGGAGCAAGGTAACCTCGAGTCCCCCTCAATGTCGTAAACACATGGCTTTGTTCTCGCGTCATAAGCTTCGCTAAACCGAAATCTGAAACTTTTGATTGGAAATTCTCGTCTAATAAGACGTTTTCTGGCTTTATATCGCAATGAATGATCTTCACGTCGCAATCTTCGTGAAGATACGCTAATCCCTTCGCTGTTCCGATTGCGATACTGTATCTCGTTTCAAAATCGAGGAAAAACTCGCCGAAAATCCATCGATCTAATGATCCGTTTGCCATATACTCGTAAACGAGAAGTCGATGTTTTGATTCTGCACAGAATCCTTTGAGTTTTACCAAATGGTGGTGATGGATGCTTCCGATTATGCTCACTTCTGCCCGGAACTCCTTCTTCCCCTGCCCGAGCCCTTCTAGCCGCTTGACCGCGAGTTGAGTTCCATCTTTTAGCGCACCCTGGTAGACTGAACCGAATCCGCCATGACCTAGCTTTGTAGTGAAATCACTCGTTGCTTCTTGAAGATCTTTGTAGGTGAAACGAACAGGCATTCCAGATATGTTCTCTAAGAAATGATCTTCTTCAGAGATTTCATCAGGATCTTCAATCGGAGTATTCATCTTCTTGTTGTATCGAATTCCGACGATTACTAGTCCGATAATAACAAATGTTGCTGAAATAACTACAGCAACCACTACAATCACCATCTGTGTCGACTGTTTCTTACTATTTTGACCCTGAGAAGTGTCCGATTGAGTATCTGAAACCCTAACGTATGATTCGATATTCGCGCCATTTTTAGCGTCTTCAAAGCTTCCAATCTGATCAAACATGTAACAGTTTCCATTGTTGTTATCGAAGAACAAAGCCACGCAAGTGCAGTTGTTCAAACACGACGATTTACAGCCATCTAAATCGGTTTTGGAATCCGGCGAAACAAACCCTATCGCAAAATAGCTCAGATTCTCCCCTGCGTTGACAAGAGTAGATGAAATTCTCGACTTGTTACATGAAGAATCGATTTCCGGTTTGCAGTTAACTTGAGCGAGTCCAGAAGGACATTGACAAGTGTTCCCATCATGACAAACGAGATATGGCGGACAAGCTAATGGTCTGCTGCATGAATCACCTGGAATTTTAGGGTTAGCAGTGATTTGTGATTGGAGATTATGGAATTTGACGAATCCATCATCTTCTAAAACTGCAATCCACGTGTCATTAGCATCAGAATCATCTGCAAAAACAAATTGCGAAAGAAAGATTCCATTTTCATCATATATCCTCCATGAATTAGCTTCAATGGTGGCAGAATTTGCATCTCCACCGCTTTTGTTGATGATTCTCCTTTTATCTTTCCCCATCGACCAATACGGTTGCGAGTTCTTAAACTCAGCTGACAAAATCAGATCTTTATTCTCGATTTGCAAAGAAAAACTCAAATTGTTATTCAAATTGCTTACGAGCTTCATCCCTTTCATAAAATCTTGATTTGACATAAGTGTGTTTGTCGGATGGCTGAAGCTTTCCCAAACAACACCACCGTCGTTCTTAACCAACACCAAGTTCCCGGAATCACGCAGTTCCATGGCGGAAACACCATTGTTGGCGGTGTTTGTTGACCAGACAACTCTCCCGTTGTTCTGTAAATAAGCATTTCCGTCATCGTCGAACAGAAACTTATCGGAATTGCCGACTGGGGAGTCTCGATTTGCAGACCAGATGATCGTTGAACTGGTCATATGAATGATGACTAAAGTGAATGAAGTGACGTCACTATTGGGATTGAAACCGAATCCGAAAATCGATGAATTTGATATCAGGAATAATCCGTTGTTGTCTATGTATTTCATTTGAGTCGCTTCGAATCCTGGGTTCACTTTGCCATTTTGTCGAACACTTGATATGCATGTTTGAGGTGAAAACGAAAAGAAGCAAAAGATAACTAAGAAACAAAAGAATCCCCAACTCCTCATGATTGAATTTAGCTGATTTAGATATATTTGACTATTTCTTCATCAAGAAAGAATGGAGAAGCACACAGAAACAGAGAATGGAGAATTAGATATGAAACGTCATCAATGGAAGCTCTCTTCACTACTGAGAAAAAAACTTCACAAGAAGACAAGATTTGAAACCGGAGATTGAGAAGAATGATGGATGAATTTGTGGGTGCCGAGGTCAAAGAAATATGAACATCTCAGGTGGGTGTCAAGTGGCAACTTTCAAATTTCAACCCATTTAAAATAATATGCTTTTTGAAATATAGAGAAATAACATAAAACATGCTTTTTTAAGCCTCATGCAAAAAAAGAATCCTTGTTTTGTTATTTTAATGCACCAAATTTAGTAGTTTTGGAATCGTTTATATAAAATTACATAAAATGCCTTTGGAAAAGTACTACTAGCTTGTTACTTTAAATGATTTGATTTTATGTAATCATCGACTTAATAAAAGGGTTGGCTAAATAGACACCCAATTTTGGCATTTAGACACCCTATATAATTTTTAACGTTTTTCTATTGGTTAAAATTACATTGTTTTCCATTTTAAAAACTCAATGATCACATAATCAGTTTTTTATTGAAATCTAAAACATGGTTCTGTAAAGTTCTGTTTAGTTTAAATATATATAACATTGAAATCATATTCTTAAACTTGTTGATAAAATTTCATATATTATTATTAAAAAAAATAAGTCCAAGAGAATAAGTCAAATTTTGTCTAACCAACTAGTATTTCTACCTCAACTTCAACATGAAGCCACTTCACATCTCTTTGCTGCGTTAAGACAAGAGAGCGGAAATTTTCAAAGTTATTTTATTCGGAGAAAATTGCAAATTTAGTCAAATACATTAATTATTTTCTGGAAAATAGCTAAAAAAACCAAAAATGTATTTTTAGCCACTAAAATCGCAGATGGATATAAGCCATCTGCGATTTCGCCTTCCCATCTGCGAACGTACAAGTGGCTAAAACACGTTTGTGCTTTAGCCACTTGTACGTTTGCAGGTGGGTTTTTTTTTCGTTGTATATATATCTCCTTTTCCAGCATAAAATCGCAGATGGACATAGTCCATCTGCGATTTTCTCTCGTTTTCACCTGCGATTTTTCAATTTTCTTTTTACTACGAAATTGATAGGGTTTGACTACGAAACAACCTTATTATATATAAACTTTTTCAAGAAATTATCATTTTTGTTGTTATTTCTTTGGAAAATTTGTTTAAAATGTTGTTTCGGGATTGTTGAAGAAATCGCCCATGATGGTTCTAAGGAAATCGCAGTGAGAGAGAGTTTTCTCTAAAAAAGATAGTGAAAAATGAAGAGGGAAAAAACGTTTTTATACTAAATCTCTACGAAATCGCAGATAGAATACACAAAATCGCAGATGGAAATGCGAAATCGCAGATGGGCTTAATCCATCTGCGATTTTAAGGGCTAATTTTGTAATTTGAATTTTTTTTGGCTATTTTTCACAAAATAATTAGTGTATTTGGCTAAATTTGCAATTTTCTCTTTTATTTGAATCTTTATTTTTAAATGAATTATATTCACAAACTAGGTGTAAGCCCTATGAGACAAAATTGCAAAAACGGTCCTTGTGGTTGGCAAATTTATGTACTTTTGGTCCAAAACGAACTGTTGTTGCACCATTAGTCCAATTTTGTATACCTCCTGCGATTTTGGTCCCTATAATTGACATTTTTGTATGGTTTTGGTCCACACCCAACTTAAAAAGACGGATATGCCCTTATATTTCTTTTATTAGTTTCCTTTTTAATTTCTTATTATTAAAAGAAAAAGAAATAACACCTACCCCACCCCTCGTACTCTCTCTCTCTCTCTCTCTCTCTCTCAGCAACACCATCACCGGTCACCCTACCACCTACCGAACCACCATCTGTTGGACCTCCACCTGCCGGACAACCATCTTTTCATTTCTAAATCTGCAAAACGAGATCGGTGTCATCATAACACCCCTCTTCCACTACCAGCGTTCATCGTTGTCACCTCCCTTCACCGCCACAGAGTCCGACACTGTCACCCCTTACCATCCATACCCTCACCAGCGACCATTATACCACCAGAACCAACAGAAAACCACCTGTGGGATCTGCCATGGAAAGCCCCAAAAAAATCCCACCTTCTTTCTCTCTGCTCTATCTCCGATCACCATCTATGAGACTAGAGGAGGTGGTGGCTCAACAATTGAGAATCGAGAAATCCAACCCATCTTTCCATTTGAAACGAACCTTTTGATCAAGACCAAGTTCATCTCATCTATCTGAATCTAATCATCAACGAAACTATTTTGATCACCAAATCGACGCAGTGAAATTCGTGTTGGATTAGTGTCTAAGTTCATAACTATTTTGGTATGTACTTGACCCGATTGTGAGCATGGTCCTTTTGGGTTGCCTTCACCATAGCAATTTGTAGGATGAATTAAGAAGAGAATGGTTTAAGTATGATTTATTAATATATTATGAGAATAATATATTAAAGGAGAAATCATATTGTTTAATTAATATTAGTCAACAATTAATTAAGAATTAATTTAGTGGCTAAAAGAGATTAATTAAACTAAGGGGACTGGAATTGTAATTATAAGATAATTGCAATTGGGCTATGGATTACCTAAGAATAATAGGTTGGACGAATTCTATGGAAAGCCCATTAGGAATTCGTCCAAGGGATATTCTAAAGGGGTCCATGGGCTGCTTAGGGCCTAAGCAGTCAGATTAGGGTTTCTTAAGTTTAAAACCCTAATAGCCTAAGTATATAAAGAACCCCTTGAGCCCCAAAAACATGGCCATCCTTTTAAGAGGGTTTTTGGACGTCTTTTGGGTGCTCTTCTTCTTCTCTTCTTCATCCAGTTGCTTAGTGGTGTTTGTGACTCCATTAGAGGTGCAACACTTAAGGCACTAAGCTTTCTGAAGCCAAGGAATTGATTGTTATTGCTACATAACAATCAAAGGTATTCTCTAAACCCTAATTCATATTATAATATGTTAGATCTAGGGTTTATAGCTTTGGATATTCAATTGCATGTTCATTAGACAAACTAGATCCAAAAGCTATTAGGGTTTGCATGTACACCATAGGAATGATGTAGTGCTCAAAACCCATCAATTCGTACCACTGAGATCGACAACAAATTGAAAGCCATTAATCAAGATCCAAATGATTTAAACAAACATGCATATGACAGATTCTAGAAAATGAAGAACATGATGGGAGGAAAAACAAAAATCTTAAAATCAGTATCCAGTGTGTTTGATGCTCAAATAATAACTATCTCCGACCACCATCATCTCTCTTCTCTGTTTTTCAGTAACCATCTGTGTAAGAACAACAGTGGTGAAGGAGAGGTTTCTCAAATTTAAGTTTTTCAGATCTGAGGAGAGGTCTCATCGAGTTAAGGCCAAGAGATATGGAGGTAAAGGTATAGAGATAAAGGTGGTTAGTGGCGGATGGTTGTAGCGAACGGTGATGGCTTGAAAATGGTGATACTTGTGTCGACTTCTCCGTCATCACTGTTATCCCTTTCTTCCACCGGCTCTATGGTGCAGAACGAAGTCGTCACCGCTCCTTCCTTGATGTACGAACATATCTGTGGTGTCTGGTCGTGCTGGAGGATGGTGGTGGCAATGGGGGTGTTCTTGAATGTGTTTTCTTGAAAGAGAGAAAGAGAGACGAGAGGTGAAGAAGATGAAAGCTACCATCGGAGAGAGAGAGAGAGAGAGAGAGAGAGAGAGAGTGTGTGTGTGTGTGGGCCATTCTCTAATTTTTAATTACTTAAAATCATTAAAACTTATATAAAAATAAGAAAAACAAATATAAAGGGTATAATTGTCTTTTTAAGTGGATAGAGACCAAAATCACTAAAAATATCCAATTTTGGACCAGTGGTGCACTAACATTTCGTTTTGGACCAAAAACACAAAATTTTGACAACCATAGGGACCATTTTTGCAATTTTGTCCCCTATGATTTATTGAATTTTAGAATGGTTTTACCATATATATATATATATATATATATATATATATATATATATATATATATATATATATATATATATATATATATATATATATAAAAGATTAAAAAATCAAGAAAATACAACATTTGCAACCTTTATACCTTACATAAGCTAAACACAAATATCGAAGAAAAAATCTATTTACTTTGTATGTTGAAATATACTCAAACATTATCAACCTAGTCTTTACGACCAATGTGATATTTACAACTTTGAAGTATTTGCTTATAAACGACCTTAGTTAGAAAAATCCTAAATTAAAATAATAATAATAATAACAACATATATTCGATAAGTAATTTATTAAAAACCACTACAAGAATATATAACTAATATCAACAAAGACAATCAATGAAGGGTTCTCAAGAAAACCAAATATGGATAATTTTGTTGGAACTTTAAGTACCAGAAGTAGGAGCCTTCAAGATTCTTTCAACATTTTATTTTGGAAACGTACTTGCAGATCATTAAATTATGGCAACTTTAATTAGTTTTAGGTTTGATTATTAACACTAATAAGTATAAGTAGTACGTAATATAAACAACTATATAAATTGAATACGTGCGCTTTCACTATTTCACAATTATGTTATATCTTTTATATCCAATTTAAAACTCTAAAAACGCAGTAAACCACTTTTTTGAAAATACCAATTCACATGTATATCTAAATAACCATAATAATTGCTACACGTAACATAAATTATGAAAATGAATACACAAAGAAATCACTTTCAAGATCAAAATAAACATTAAATATTTTAATAGTAAGTTCTACCTAAAGGTCCATGCGCATTAAAATTTCCTACTCTTTTGCCACTAAACAAAATATTATTTTAATGATTTGTAACTAAAGTTGATATTATAGATCTAAATGCAAGGAAAAACATGAAAATAATTTTTTTTTTCTTATATCATTTATTAAT